CTTGTTTGGCCAGGACAATATTTTAGTCAAAGAAATGGCTAAAAGTGGAGAGGTACCTGGAGAAATATCACACGCCTTCTACACTTTCTACCTTCCCAACACACTTATACTGATTTGCTGGCACTTTGTGTTTCATCAGTTTTGGTTTCAATCTAGTTGGCCACTTAAGCATTGGGAGTGTGAGTGTGTGTGTGTGTGTGTGTGTGTGTATATAGTTCATTTTGATTCCTGCACTCCTAAACCGCTTGGGAGGAAGGCATCTCAAGGACTTTCTCTTCTTCTACAAACCCTGTAGAAGGGAATCTCTTATCTCTAAAAGGCAGCTGTGCAAAGTGGCCTTGATTGTCTTATTTCTATGCTTGATTGCACAACCTGTGACTGGGAGGAAACTTGATTAGTGGTTTCATGCATGGCGGGGGTGGGAGGTAGAACCCCTAAGAGATGCAGCTCCAGACATGAAACTGCCATTCTGTTTCTCCAAGCGTGCAACTTCAGTCCAAATTGGGAGGGGGGCTACCACGAACCAGAAATGCTGCCACCTACCTTCAGCGCCAGGGCCACAGTCATGATGATTGCGCAGACAGCCATGCCTCCTAAGCCAACCAGGTGGAGGGTCCGACGCCCCGCCCACTCCACAAGGAAAAGCTGCAGAATGGGGAGAGGAGGACACACAGGATTGTGGTGGGCAGCAGGTCTCCCAACTGCCACCGTAGGGTCAGATACCAGGGAACGTTCCAAAAACTCTCCATGAAATGGTCAATTGGATCCTGTTGTGGTGACCACTGTCCTTGACTTCATTTACTGCACCCTCTGGAACCCCCTCTCAGCAGGGAGGTCCAGCGTGGGGCCACATTTTAAAGGCAACCCACACGTGCGCCTTTAGTGTTCATCTGATAGGCATCAGAATGTGATGAGCCCATCCCAGGTCAACTTGTTGGCTACACTCGATTTAAGCCCCATTTTTCTTCTTTAACATCATGGCTCCCCACCAGCCCTCAAAGCCGCCCCTGATATTTTCTCTCACAAGATCCTCCAGATTTCCAGGAGGGGTTTTCACCTCAAACACCACCCCCCAAATTCAGGGTGATCCCATCCTCTGCCACCACCTACCGACACCACAGTAAAGACGGTATTGACCACGCCGGCCCCGATGGTGGCGTAAACTGGTTGCTTGACTCCGGCATCTTTGAAGATCCCTGTGGAATAGTAGAAGACCTAGAAGGAGGAGGAGGAGGAGGAGGAGAGCGGATGGCAGCATTTAGAAGAGGGAGGACAATTTGAGCTCTGCGAGAAGGACAGGAGAGGGAGGGAGGACTCTCTTGCGCCTCAGTGAGCGCCATTTCTTTGAAAGCAGGAACCCAAAGCCAAACCAAAGTGCCAGGCCACCACAGGAAGATCCCCAAACCCACAATGGTCACTGCGCACTGACCCCTCCTGCCCCTTTTGAACCCCGCAGCAGAGGGGGGCCTGCAGCGGGCATTCTGGCCTTATGGGTGCCCCTCTTATGGCTGCTCTCCCGCCTTCACACGGACCCAGCTCCTCCGGTCTCCCGCCAGAGAGATGACCGTCCCTCGGGGGGACCCACCGCGTTAATGCCCGAGAGCTGCTGCGAGAGTTGCAAGGCAATGGCAATGATGATGGCCTGGCGGTAGCTGGGGGAGCGGAAGAGTTCTGGGATGGTGACTTTCTTCTCCTGGGACATCT